TTCCCAAACAATGCTTAATCATAACCAAAACCTGTTTCTGATAGTTTCTTATTGTTTCTGCTTGTTTGGCGAGTTTGTAAAAGTGTTTGAAAGGAAAGTCTGACACGTACAAGTAGCTCATTTGCATAGTGCAGCGCGCGCACTTTCAAGTCCGAGTCAGTGTTGCTTACAATTCAGGTAAAACTCAAACTTGCAATTACTTTTTTACCGTTTCGGTTGCGACGGACTCTGACGAAATCCTCGCAAACGTGTGGCAAGAGGAGCTAGGAAACTTTGAAGTCCTGAAACTCTGCTATGTCCAAATATATCCAACGTAGTGTTTTGCTGTGTTACTGATGGACAAGCTGTTAAACATATGTGAAATTTAGAGTGGAGTAATGTACAGCTCTTGTAAAAGAAGCAGCAGAATACAGCTTGGTCAGTGATATAAAGCGGGACATACCTAAATTCGACACTGTCTTACTTTACCCAGACTGGAACAGCTTACGACGAAAATACTTAAGCAAAATTCCAACAGACACAAATGCGTTGAGTTCTGGGCCAAAAGCATAAAAAATTTCGGGAATTTCGGACGCCATTTCCCCCTTGCAACTTCCGCAAAAATCCTCGCAGCATGCATGCGCGTGTGCCGCAGGCGATGGCACAATATTGTTCTAAAAATAGAAAAATTGTCCCATTTCAAAGGGACAGCCTCAATACTAGAAATGGCGCGCGCTTACGGTCTCCGTGATCTCATATGATTTTCTTTGCTCATTGGCTTCCTGTAGCTCTGACAGTTCGCTTCCTGACAAGGCGTTACATTGGGGAGTATGACAGCACGTTAGGTAAGACAAAACATATGCCCTGTCTTCCAGGAGTGACTGACTAAAATCAAGATTCTCAACCAATTGGGAGAATTTCGTGCCTGGTCAGGAAGTACTGCCATGGCTAGCCTGCAAACAGGCTCCTGGCGAGGACGTAGGCTATCCCATGGCATGATCAACCCCTACACACAAGGCGCTAAATTAAATCCAGAATTGAATCATTGCAGTGTTATTTCGTGGGTTTTTTCGGTCAAAATACTTAACCCCTAAAGTGGCTCACCCAATCAAGTAATATTAATGGATACTGGTGATTTGTTAGCCATAAGGGAAACCTGACAAAAATCATGTCCCGGGGGAGGGCATCCAGCGGTAGACAAGCATCTCATCAATAGAGGGAGGGGATAAAGCTAATCCATGCGGCCAGTTGCACTGAACACGACAAAGTTTTAACCCCGGGGGGTACTCCCAGAAAAGTTGGGTGGGGGTGTGCGGCCCGCTTCCCAAAACCCTTACCATATTTATGACCAAAATCTGCGATATTCCCTACCTTATTTATGACCTGTCCAAATATTCGATACCCTATATATTTATGACCTGTTCATTAAATCAAAACCCTCTTTCAGACCTGCGTTATAATAACTTCCCTAGTTCAGACCAATGTTAAATTACCGTAAACATAATTTGTGA